GACGCGGTTCAGTCCGTGGGTCGGGAAGATCCCCTGAAGGAGATGGCAACCCACTCCAGCACTCTTGCCTGGAGAATCCCATGGACAGAGGAGCCTGGCAGGCTACAGTCCACGGGGAGCAAAGACTCGGACCCGACTGAGCGGCTGAGCATCACACTCACTGAAGTCGCTCACTGCTCCGGATGAAGGTCTCAGATTTCCACCGTCCTTCCTCCACACTATGCTCAGAGTTACCAAACCCTCAGTGCCGTTTAAAGTAATAATCTTCTTCCAGGTTGTAGAGATGGAATCACTGGGCTGGAAGTTGTGGGGAAAGGATTCTGGAGATCTGATGGCTCCTTGTAAGAATTGTTCAAAATCCTGCCGTATCACAATCACCTTTGAGAAGCCCAGTGCCAGCAATTTCTGAGCCATTCTTGCGCTCTGAGGCCAGGGCTCACCTGCCTTCAGGCTTCTGATCTGCAGGCCTGGGTGCTTCTTTCCTGTTCTGCTTCATCTCTTCCCCCTGGTTCTGCTGCTTTCTGACGTCCACGGCTGTCTTAGTGTTCCAGCACGCTTTTTACCTATTCTCCTTGTTGACTCATATCTTTTAAGGAAATCCTTCTTCTATCACAGTGGTGGAAATTTGGAAAGAAACTTAAAAATAATATACATATACACTTGCATAAATAAATGAAGAATATATGCATTTAAGAATATATATATAAATAAAGGTATAAGGATGGTCATTAATCACCTAGCTAGATGGGTAAATACCTTTATTCTTAAATTATTCTCTAAGTTTTTTATGCTTGTTATTCTTTAAAATTCAGCAGCACACACCTCTCATGGTTTTCCTCCTGCATCCTGGACTGTGAGGAGAGTCCGGGGCATGTAGCTCTGGCCCCGCCTTCGGGCTGCGCCTCCTGGCCTCAGTGGAACTCTGACCACATGACTGAACCTAGTTGAGCTTCGGTTATTCATAAAAAAGATTAATTTACGACTTAATTCATGCAGAAGCTAATGAGGAAAACAGAGACCTGTTAGTCACTTTTAACAGGGAGAGTTTAAGGTAAGGGGTTGTTTTAAACGGTGTCACAGAACGAAGCAGTGAAAAGGCAACATAAACATGATGAGGAAACAGGAGACCCCACCAGCTCTGGAGCCAGAGGGCCAGAGGAGAGGGCTGGGTGGCCGGCCCTCGAAGCGTGAGTGGGGACCGCACGGCGGGGCTCAGCCCTCTGAGGGGGCCCGGCCCGCTCTGCCGCCCCCTCCGAGGGGACAGGAAGGCACTCCCGGGGCACACGGGGGTGCAAAGGACACCGGACTGACTGCTGGCCGCTGACCCAGGCCGCCAGGAGGAGCAGGCGGGAGTGAGCCCCTCCTTCCCCGCCCTGGAGCTCTGCCCGAGCGCGCCGTCTCCAGCATCACAGAGCGAGGGAAGGACGAGGCGGAGCCGGGCGCTAGCTACACGGTGGGGAGAACGCGCGCAGCCCAACGCCAAGAGCCGGCTGGGCCCACAGTGAAATTATTCCTTGCTTTCCTTATGCATATTAGGTCCTCTTTTCTGTTTTTTTTTTTTTTCTCTTCTAGCTTTCCCTTTTAAGTTAATGTAAGTTACTTAAAAAGAAACTTTTGCTACATTTATTCTTCGCCAGGATTGCTAATGCTGTGTGCTTCGTCGCCCAGTTGTGTCCGACTCTTTGCGACTCCATGGACTGTAGACAACCAGGCTCCTCTGTCCATGGGGATTCTCCAGGCAAGAATACTGGAGGGGGTTGCCATTTCTTTCTTCAAAGATTGCTAGGGGAAATATCAAAAACCTTAGATATGCAAATGATACCACTCTAACAGAAAGTGAAGAGGAATAAAAAGTCTCTAGGTGAGGATGAAAGAGGAGAGTAAAACAGTTGACTTAAAACTCAACATGTCATCCAGTTTCATCTCTTCATGGCAAATAGATGGGGGAGAACTGGAAACAGTGACAGATTTTATTTTCTTGGGCTCCTAAAACAATGCGGATGGTGACAATAGCCATGAAATTAAAAGATGCTTGCTCTTTGGAAGAGAATCTATGACAAACCTAAGTTCATTTCAGTCACTCAGTCGTGTCTGACTCTTTGTGACCCCATGGACTGAAGCACGCCAGGCCTCCCTGTCCATTACCCACTCCCGGAGTTAATTCACACTCATGTCCATTGAGTCGGTGATGCCATTCAACCATCTCATCCTGTCGTACCTTTCTCCTCCCGCCTTCAATCTTTCTCAACATCAGGGTCTTTTCAAATGAGTCAGCTCTTCACATCAGGTGGCCAAAGTATTGGAGATTCAGCTTCAGCATCAGTCCTTCCAATGAACACCCAGGACTGATCTCCTTTAGGATGGACTGGTTGGATCTCCTTGCAGTCCAAGGGACTCTCAAGAGTCTTCTCCAACACCACAGTTCAAAAGCATCAATTCTTCAGTGCTCAGCTTTCTTTATAGTCCAACTCTCACATCCATACATGACCACTGGAAAAACCATAGCTTTGACTAGACGGACCTTTGTTGGCAAAGTAATGTCTCTGCTTTTTAATATGCTGTTTAGGTAGTTCATAACTTTTCTTCCAAGGAGCAAGTGTCTTTTAGTTTCATGGCTGTGGTCACCATCTGCAGTGATTTTGGAGCCCCACAAAATAAAGTCTCTCACTGTTTCCATTGCTTCCCCATCTATTTGCCATGGAGTGATGGGACCAGAGGCCATGATCTTAGTTTTCTGAATGTTGAGCTTTAAGTCAACTTTTTCATTCTCTTTCACTTTCATCAAGAGGCTTTTTAGTTCCTCTTCACTTTCTTCCATAAGGGTGATGTCATCTGCAAATCTGAGGTTATTGATATTTCTCCCAGCAATCTTGATGACAAACCTAGACAGCATATTAAAAGCAAAGACATCTTTTTGCCAACAAAGGTCCATATAGTCAAAGCTATGGTTTTTCCAGTGGTCATGTATGGATGTGAGAGTTGGACCATAAAGAAGGTTGAGCACTGAAGAATTGATGCGTTTGAAGTGTGGTGTTGGAGAAGACTCCTAAGAGTCCCTTGGACTGCAAAGAGATGAAACCAGTCAATCCTAAAGGACATCAACCCTGAATACTCATTGGAAGGACTGATGCTGAAGCTGAAGCTTCAGCTTTGGCCACCTGATGCAAAGAGCCAACTCATTACAAAAGACCCTGGTGCTGAGAAAGTTGGGGGCAGGAGGAGTGGGGGCGACAGAGGATGCGATGGTTAGATGGCATCACCGACACAGTGGACATGGTTTGAGCAGGCTCTGGGAGGTAGTGAAGGACAGGCAAGCCTGGCATCCTGCAGCTCATGGCTTGGCAAAGAATCAGACAGGACTTAGTGACTGAACAATATCATCTTTATTATAAACCCTTAGTTCTCTCAATAAGTACCTCATTTAAGCAAATTGACCTGGTTCTTTGTAGTTCGCTCCATATTAATTCTGCCTCAGCATTCACAAAGGGCTCTGTGAGTTTCAGGATGGGCTTTACACCAGGTGCATTATTCCGGCTCCTCTTGTGTTGTTCATTCTTACTGGTTCGTTTTTCTAGTCTTCCCACTTGGAGAAAGAGGAGGGGAACAAGAAAGGTGCTCCACGGCTACTTTCCTTTACATCTCTTACGACTCTCATTTATCTTTGGTCTACTATCCGGAAGTGTTGACCTATCTTAGCTCAGCATTTCCATCTTAGCCGCTTTTCTATGCTACTCTATACTCTTTGCAGACTTTAATTTTGAAAGAACAAATTTAAGTCTTCCTGCATTCATTTATTATAAATTCTCTAAAGGATTTCTGTTAGCAACTACTAAAGCAACTTCTTTATCACACAAACTACCTCATAGGCCTTTTACCTTATAGAGAATGAAATATTTATAGGCATATTAGCTAGTTTCACCAGGGTGTTTGAAATTAAAAGACATATATTGGGGAGGAGAGAGAAAAGAGGAATAGTAAATTCTCAGTAACAGAAACATAAAAATAAGCACTTCTTTTAGTGCACTTAGAAAAGGAAAATAATAAGATTTACAAGGCTTGTAGGGCATGACAAAAAGTTTAAGGAAGAAAATATGCAGAACAAATATTTAATTTCACTAATGTCACTAAGTTTGACATTAGTGAGTGGTTATTTGGGAGAGAGTGGTATATAGAGGTAATTTAATAATAATGTAAAAGGAAATTCACAGCAATAATTTGGGAAACTATGTCGTATGTTTACAATTACAATTCAAGTAATTGATTCTTCTGCTTTTACCAGAAAAAATCCTCTCTGGGACATATGACTGTAATTGCCCACTAGTTGATTTTGAATGACCTTCCTAATTGAAATAGTTATCATATCAAAAAATTCAAAGGGACAAAGTCCAGAAGGACGACGGACTTGGAGGATGTGGGGCTCACCTCCCCCCACAAGCATGTCAAAAATGCATCTGCAGGTGGAAGCGTTCTCACAGAACACTATCTAGAAACTGGCAGAAGATCTCCTCCTACACAACCAAAATGCAAGATGGATCTCCATGAATCCAGGTAGAACAGAAAATAAAAAATCAAAAAGGGTTAGGATGGGACTGGTGTCCTCTGGGAAGGATCTGTAAGGGAGAGAGGGTCCACGTGGGCAGACCCTCGACCTGGGAAGTACCCTATCCTGCTGGGCCATCCAGTGGGCAGATGGAGGGGCTGGGGACGCCTAGACTCTGTTCTTAGGAGTGTGCCCTCGCAGGGCAGAGGGAGACTGGCGCCTTGACACATATCGCAGATCCCAAGAGGCGAAACCCTTGGACTGGGAAATGCAGCCCCGCCTGCTCCACATTGCAGCTTGGCACGGAATCAGGGCAGAGAAGCTGCCTACTTGCAGACAGACCAGAGCCCCTGAGTATGATCCTGGCCAGACCTGGAGACCGTAGTCAGCTCACACAGGGGAGAGTGACCGGGCGGGCTTGTCAGCTGCACACCAGTGGCGTCAAGAGGACACGCAGCAGCTAAGCTCTGCGTCTCCGGCAGGTAGACCCGGGAAGAGGACTCAACCTAGGAGCGAGAGACCAGCCCAGAGGGCCCGGGGCGTGGTCCTCGGGGAGGCGCGGAGACCACTGCAGTGTACACAGAGCAGCAGGCGTGGGGGGCGGGGGGCGGGCAGCTGCAGCAGACAATAGCCCCCGGGGCGCCACAGAAACACAGCCTCTGCGCCAAGTCTTGGCCGGACCCGCCCTGGGCAGGAGGGTGCAGCATCTCACTCCCGGTGGGAGCCCTGGAGCTCCGCGCTGCGCGCTGATCGGGAGGGACAGGTGCTGGGGAAGGTCCGCCCCAGCGCAGTCCGGCTCCCCGACAGCGGCACAGCCCCTGCAGTGCCTGTGGCCGCGGCTCAGCGCGAGGTCCGGGACGAACACGCTGGAGAAGATGCAGCCTCGGGCTGTCTGGTGGGACCGTGGATACCCACACGGGCGGCACAGATATTCACTGACCTCGGGGGCCTCGCAGGCTTCAGTGGTCACCTCCTGTGGGGCAGGGCGTGCTCTCACGGGCAACAGAGCCTGAGCAAACCCTACCCTCAGCTTCTGCTTCAACAGCTGGGGAGCAGACCCACCCGCACCAGAGCAGTAACAGCCACGGGTTAGAAGCCGTACCCCACTTCTGGTGTCAGGTCTAGACACCCAACCACATCCCCTAGCAAGGAGATAATGGCCAGGGCTCTCTGAGGAAAGGTGTTGCTGGTATCCATACAAAAACTGGCCCTTGAGCCAAAAATACTGGACCCACACAATCGCCACAGGGATGTTCCCATATAAGCTATCCATTCAAGACCACAGTAGATAAATGCTTCTCCTAATTGATAGAGGCAGAGGAACTGAAGTAAAATTAAAAAGCAGAGGAACTACGCCAAATGAAAAGAATAAGAGAAATCCCCTGAAAGAACAAATAAAGAAACTGACCTCATCAGTCTATTAGATCCTTAGTTCAAAATGAAGGTACTAAAAATAATGAATAAAAGAAGATTACTGACAGAAATGCAGATAACTATAACAGAAGTAGAACTGTGAAGGAACCAATCAAAATGAGGTAGTTCAGTTGTTGAGATAAAAACCAATTCTGAAGCAATGGATAGCAGAATAAATGACACAGAAGGATAAGTGATCTGGAAGCAGAGTAATGGAAATTACCCAATCAGAACAGCAGACAGACAAATGAAAAGGAAAATAACATAAGAGTTCTATGGGGTAACACAAAGCGTGCCAACCTACACACAACAGCATTTTCAGAAGGAGAAGAGAGACAAAGGAGCACTGAAAATATATTTAAAGAAATTATGGCCAAAAGTATCAGAAACATAAAGATGGAAGCAGATATCTAGGTACAGGAAGCACAGAGGGTCCCAAACAAGATGAACCCAAACCAAGACATACCGTAATTAAGATGAAAAAGTTAAAAAGGGGATAAAAATGCAGCAAGAAAAAAAAGACTTATAAGCAAACCTCCATAAAGCTATCATCTGATTTTTCTAAAGAAAATTTGCAGGCCAGAAGGGAGTGGCAAAATATATTAAAAGTCTTGAAAGAGAAAAACTTGCAACCTAAGATACTCTACTCAGAAAGATTACCATTTAGAATAGAACGAGGGATAAATAATTAGTTAGAAAAAGCCAAAAATACTGGACTCACACTGTCTACACAGGGATGTTCCTATCAAAAATCAAAGTAATTCAGCAATACTAATCCCACCCTAAAAGAAATAAAGTTCTTCTCTATGCAGAAAAGAAACAAGAATCTATAGAAAAGGAAAAATCAGAATAGGAAAGGCAAACATATAAAAGGATTGAAGATCACTTAAAAAAACAATAAAAATCTTTAAAAGCCATCAAAAATTGTAAAAGCAATTATAAGTACAATTAATAGATACAATAAAAGAATAAGCATGAAGAACTACAATAAAATATATATATATATATACACCTATAATTAGATATATGTATAAGCACTTTGCTATACACCTGAAATTAACACAACATTGTAAATCAACTATAGTTCAAGTAAAAAATAAGTGCTTAATATGAATTTAAAAAGAAAAAGAAAAATCTCAAATTAACAATCTAACTAACCTATCACCTAAAAGGATGAGAAGAACAACCAAAACTCAGATTCAGCAGAAAGAAGAAAATAATAAGGATTAGAAAGAAAATAAAATAGAGATAGAAAGCAATAAGAAAGATCAATAAAACCAAGAGCTGATTTTTATAAGTATAAACAAAATTTATATTTATAAAATAAAGAAATTAAATTTAATATAAATAATATTTATATAATAATAAATGGCATATTATGTTATTTATAAATTAAATATTTCTGTTTATTAATTATTAAATATATTTATTAATTTATAATATAAATTATAAAATAAACAAATATAAATATAATATAGATAGATTTATAATATAAGTAAATATATTTATTATTAAATATAAGCATTTATTTTATAAATAAATTTATACAGAATAATTATACAGAACACTATCCAGGTTCACCAAGAAGAGAGAATCCAAATAAACAAAATAAGAAATGAAAGAGCAGAAATAACAACTAATACCAGAGAAAATTTTAAATCCTAAGAGAATACTATGAACAGTTACAACCAACATATTGGAAAAACTAAAATAAATGGACAAATTTCAAGAAACATACTGACTGCCAAAATTGAAGAAAAAAATAGATAATTTGAACAGACTGATCACGAGAATTAAAATAGAATCTGTAAAAAACCTTTTTTTTTTTGCCAACAAAATCCAGTACTGAATGGCTTTGCCAGAGAATTCTACCAAACATACAAAGAAGAATTTATGCCTCATCTTCTCAACTATTCCAAAAGACTGAAGAAAAAGGAACACTCTCAAAGGTATTCTTTGAAGCCACCATCTCCCTGATACCAAAGCCAGACATACTGCAAAAAAGAAAACTACAGGCCAATATCTTTGATGAATATAAGATGCAAAATTCTCAATAAAAATAAGCAAACTGAATCCAACAATTCATAAAAAAGCATCATTAACCATGGTCAAGTTAAATTCATTCCAAGGTCACAAGGATGGTTCTATGTACACAAATCATTCCATGCGATACATTAACAAAAGAGAAGACCAAAACCACATAGCCATCTTAAGATGGAGAAAAAGCATCTGACAAAATTCACTATCTGGTCATGATAGAAACTCTCACCAAATGGGAACCGAAGGAACATATCTCAACATAACAGAAACCATTTATGACAAACTCACAGCCAACATGGTAACTCAAAGGTGAAAAGCTGAAAACCGTGCTAAGTTCAGGAACCATACAAGGATGCCCACTCTCACCACGTCTATTCAACATAGCATTGGAAGTCCTAGCCACAGCAACCAGACAAAAAAGAAGAAAACATCCAAATTAAAAGGAATGAGGTAAAATTATCCTATTTGCAGATGACTAGATACTGTATAGAGAGAACCCTAAAGTCTCCACACAGATGTTTTTAGAACTAATAGATGATGTCAGTAAGACATCAAGAGACATGATCAGTATACAGAAATCTGTTGTATTTATTTATATTAGCAATGAAATGTCAGAAAGATAAATTTTAAAAAAACTCCCATTAAAACTCACATTTGAAAAATACCTAGGAATAAACTTAACCAAGGAGGTAAAAAACTTATATGTTGAAATGAAGCATCACTATGAACAAAGCTCGTGGAGGTGATGGAATTCCAGTTGAGCTATTTCAAATCCTAAAAGATGATGCTGTGAAAGTGCTGCACTCAATATGCCAGCAAATTTGGAAAACTCAATAGTGGCCACAGGACTGGAAAAGATCAGTTTTCATTCTAATCCCAAAGAAAGGAAATGCCAAAGAATGTTCAAACTACTGCACAATTGCACTCATAGCACATGCTAGCAAAGTAATGCTCAAAATTCTCCAAGCCAGGCTTCAACAGTATGTGAACTGAGACCTTCCAGATGTTCAAGCTGAATTTAGAAAAGGCAGAGGAACCAAAGATCAAATTGCCAACATCTGTTGGATGATAGAAAAAGCAAGAGAATTCCAGAAAAAACATCTATGTCTGCTTTACTGCCAAAGCTTTTGACTGTGTGGATCACAACAAACTGTGGAAAATTCTTCAAGAGATGGGAATACCAGACCACCTGACTTGCCTCTTGAGAAATCTGTATGCAGGTCAGGAAGCAGCAGTTAGAACTGGACATGGAACAACGGACTGGCTCCAAACTGTGAAAGAAGTACGTCAAGGCTGTATATTGCCACCCTGCCGATTCTCCAGGCAAGAATACTGGAGTGGATTGCCATGCCCTGCTCCAGGGGGTCTTCCCAGGCCAAGGATGGAACGCTGTCTCTTGTGTCTCCTGCACTGGCAGCCAGGTTCTTTACCACGAGCACCACCAACTGAGAAGGACCTACTGAATGGAACAGGGAACGTTACTCAATACTCTGTACTGACCTATTTGGGAAAGGAGTCTTAAAAACGAGTGCATGTATGTATGTGTATAACTGATTCACTTCACTGTATACTTGAAACTAACCCAGCATTGCAAATGAACTATACTTAAAAAATACAAATGTGTCTATATGCAAAACAGAAATAGACTCACAGACATGGAAAGCAAACTTACGGTCACCAAAAGGGAAAGGGACGGGGGAGGGGTATATTAGGAATATGGGTGTAGCAGACAGAAACTCCTATATATAAAATACACAAGCTACAAGGATTTACTGTTTAGCACAGGGAACTGTGGTCAGTATCTTAAAGTAATAATCTATAATGAAAAATAATTAAATACATACACAAATACACACACATATATACATATATATATATATATACGTGTAATTGAAACACTTGGATGTGAACCTGAAATCAACACAATATTGTAAATCAATTATACTTCAAAAAAGTCCAAAGAAAGTAACAGTGTATCATCTATAAATTCTTGAATTGCTCAAACTCCTTAATTAGTAAATACAGTTCCTTCTTCCCATATACCATGGTATCCAACTCACTGAGTTCACATCACAAGGGTCTACAACAGGGTTTCTACCACAGTCAGACTTTTAAAACTGGGGGCTGGAGAACTATTTAATATGGGGGCATTTTGTGCATTTGAAACCTGTTTGGTAGCACCCTTGGTCTGTAAGCTCTAGATACCAATAGCAGCCCCATCCCTCATCCACTGTGAGTCTTGACAACCAAGAGTGCCTCAAGGGGCACCATTGCTCTTGGTTGAGACTGAAGGCTCTGTCCTTTCATTAAGCTTGACTTCCCTATTTCCAGCTTAATTTCTTAGTGACTGTTTCCAGGTTGCTTCCAGATTTCATCCCACTCCTTGCACATTGAGCCCTCGCTTTTGGTCAGCCGGTGACTCTCAGAATCACCAGGGGTCTCATGAAGCCTCTTTATCCTTCCTTACTTCTCCATTTGCTGAAGTGGCGACATGGAAAAGAGCATCCCTGTTTGTTTTCTATGTGATTAATCAACGATGTCTACCATCTTCCCCGTGAGCTAAGTATAAACAATGACAGGAAGTTATGACAACCTGCTCTGCCAGTGCCTGTGTAGAAAAGACATGTCTAGTAATAAATTCAACCCACACTGTATTTTCAGCCTTAGGCTGGCCACTTGAGACTTAAAG